TAAAATGTACGGTTATATAAATATACGGTAATTTTATAAATTTTAAATTATAATAAATAAAATAATTTTAAATTTGTTTTTATTGTATAAATTTTATTTTTTATTATATTCTTTAAACGTTTAACGGCGTTATTTTATATTTAAATATAATTTGTTAAAAGTTTTAATTTTATATGTAATAATTTAAAATAATTTTTAATTATTGGTTTTATTTAAATAATTTTTTGATTTAATTTTTATATATATATAATGTTATATTATATTAAATTTTTAATAATTTAATTAAATTTTTTAATATTATAATAATTATTTGCAATTTTTTATTATATAAGTAATAATTAAAAATTATTTTAATTTAACGGTTTATAATTAATATAAAATTTATAAATCTTTTATTAAACGTTTTTATTAAATAAAAATTTAATGTTAATTTTACGTTAAAAAATTTATTAATATATTATAATATACGATTTATTTACCGTTTAATTTTAATTATGTTATATGTTTTATATTTAATTATTATTAATCTTTTAATACGTATTTTTTTATTAACGTTAATTAAATATTTTAAAATTTAAAACTTTAAATATTTTAATTTTAAATATTATTTTAAAACGTTAATTATATTAAATAATTTTATAAATTTCAAATTTAAATTATTATAACATATATAAAAAACGGCTTTTAAAATTTTATAAAATATATTTTTTAATATAAATTAATTATAGTAATTAATAAATTTATTAATAATTACCTTATTTAAATGTTTTAAATAAATGGGTTTATTACAATTATTTTATTAATAATTTTATTTTTATAATAATTTTAACGATATAAAATTATAAATAAAGTTTTTATAATAAATAATATTTATAAACTTAATTTAAATAACGTTTTTAACATATTTAATGCGTATATTTACATTTTTATAATTTATTATTTTAACGCGTTTTTTATTAATAATAATATAATTATTTAATAAAATAACTTTAAAATTAATAAATTAAAAGATTTAATTAAATACGTGTATAATAATTTTTAAATTTAATATTATTAAATTTTTTAAAAGGTATTAATTTATATTAAAAACGGCGTTTAATATTAATATTATAAATAAAGCGTTAATTTATAAATTTATTATTTAATAATTTAATTAATTATTTTTATTTTTAATAGTTTAACGTTAGTTTTTTTTTAAAAAACTTTAACTTTAATTATTAAATTAAAATTATTTTTAAAGTTAATATTTATAAAAGTGGTAAATTTTTTATTACTTTTAAAATAATTAAGTCGTTTTAATTTAAAAACGTAAAAATATTTATTAAAATTATAATGTTTTTAATATATTTCGTATTTTTTATTATTATATGCGTTAAAATTTGTTTTTAATAATTATTTCGGGTTAATTTTAACCTTTTTACGTTTATTAAAACTATTTTATTTTATTTTAAAATGTTTAAAAAGTTATAAAAACCTTTTTTAACGATTTAAATTATCTTTTTAATTTAAATTTTTACTTTTATTAATGTTATATATTAAGTTAAAAGTTTTTTTATATATTTTATTTTTTTATTTATTATGTTTAAAAGTTTATATATAACGTTTTAACGTTATTAATAATTTATTATATTGTAAAATTTTATTAAAAATGTTTTTTTTAAAAATGATATTTTAAATAATTATTTATTTAAAAATTATAAGTTTTAAAATTTAAACAAATGTTTAAAATCATTTTTAAAAGTTATTAATTATTATTAAACTTTATTATTTTACTTGTAAAAAAGTAGTTTTTTACGTAAATATGTAAATATTTTAATTTTTAAAAGGTTTAAAAAACAATGTTATTATTTTATTATATTTTTTTTAAACTTTATATTTTAACACGTATATTTTTAAATAATTTTTAAAAGTGATGTATATGTTACGAAAAAAGTTTATAATTTTAATTATTATTTTAATATAATTTTTTAATATAGTTTTAATAATAAATTATTTAAAATAAAGTATTTTAATTTTTTAATTGTTATAAAGTGTTAATATTTTTATATATATGGTATAATTATTAATATAACGTTTTTAATTTTTTTAAATTATTTTTTTAATTAATTAAAAAGATTTTTTAAAAGTTAATTTTTATAAATTAAGTTTAATTTTTGTTAAAATTAATTTTATAATTATTTTTATTAATGTTTTAATTTGTTTATTATATTATTTAATATTAAATATTTTTAATTAAATTAAAAAAATAAATGTTAAATTATTATTTTTATTAATGTTATTAAAATTAATTTAATTTTATAATTTATAATTTATTATAAAAGTAACGAAATTTTTATTTTAAATTTTTTAATTGTTAAAAAAGGTTAAATTAAATTTATTAATTAATATGATAATATTTATAATAAATGTTATTTTATTAATAATTTTATAGGAATTTTATTGTAATAAAATATATATACGGTTAAATAACGCCGGTTAAAATTATATTTTTAAAGTTTTTACGTTTAAACGTATAAAATTTTTAATTATTAAATAACTAATATATATAATTAAATAATGATTAAAATAAATATTAATATAATTATTAATAATTTAATTATATGTTGTAAAAATCGTGAAAACGTGTAAAATGCGTGTAATTACATAAAATGTAAAGTTTTTAAATCATTTAACAAAGTTAATTAATTTAATAATATTTTACGTTTAAAGTTAAAATTTTATACGTTAATAACAAATAACTTTTTGTTGTTTTTTTTAACACATTATTTAAAACTTAAGATAAATAAACATGTTTAATGGTAACTTAATATATTTCACGATTTAAAATTAAAAAAAATTTATAACAATTTTTACTTAAAGTCATTTTAAAAAATTAAAAAAAAAAAAAAAATTAATGATAAACTTTCGCAAATATAAAGCTTTTTTACAATGTTATTTAAAAAGTTTATTAATTTAAATTTTTATAACTAAATTAATTTAAACTATATATGGTATTATTTAAGCCATTTAAACAAAAGTTTTTACTTAAAATAATTATTCCTTTTAGTTAAAAACGTATACTACCATGTAAATTAATTATATTAAAGCTATACGATATTTGAAGTAAAGATAGAATAATTATGAACATGGATCTTTCCCGGCTGCCGGATATATCATATAACTTTGGCTATCCCCATACATCCTTCTCCTGTAGAAGAATCTAAAGCTACAGGCACTTCTTGAAAGATATTGAGTAATGGGGTTCGTTAGAATTAAATTCAGTCCCAATCGAGGCGACGAAAGTGGCAACGACTTCTATTAGGTGCTATTGTATGGTTTCTAGACTTGATGGGCGGATGATGATCTTCCAGCTCTGTGGAATTGCCGAACCAACCCCACACAAAATTCATATGGCTATTCTCTTCGAGTACGACAGTATCATCTTCTTTACCGGTTTTTACATCATGTAATAATTCATATTTAGGAGGAGCTACCCCGACTCACCCCAAATGTAAGTAAGGCAGTTATCTCAAGTTTCCCTTTCGCTTCTATTTGGTACCAGTTCCCTTAGGCAAGATTGAAGATGTTGAGACTCACCCTCGCCGCTCTAGGGCTCCTTGCAGCTCAGGCCGTAGCACAATGCACCCGCGAAGACCTCATTGCTGCTACTGATAGTCTCCTTGCTGCGCAGACTGCGGGAACTCCCGACACAGTAGCTCCTCTGGCCGACACAGTGGTCTACTTGGAAGCATTTAAGACGGCTGATATCAAGACTGGAATACTGTCTCACCCGCTCAATATTGACTTCAACCGCAGTCTCCACGACACCACCCAATGCGCAACATACACCGAGATCGTTGTCACAGACAAGGCGCACCCGTATGTCATAGGCACGCAACTGCGCTTCGCTGATGGAAAGATCGCCAATATCAGCTCTCTCGTTACTGATCAGGGCGACTGGCTTTTCAACGCCACCGGTACCCTCTACTGGGCATCCCAGGAGAAGTGGGACCCAATCCCGGAGGACCAGCGCGACAGCCGCGAGGTGATCCAGGCCGCAGCCGATGCCTACGCCAACCTGTTCAACGACAAGTCCGTACAAGTCCCTTGGGGACATCCTTGCGCACGTCTTGAGGGTGGCGCGTACACCGGTTCGGGATCCGCCGACGATAGGTGCGATGTCGGTGTTCCCAATGGTAAGTCATATCTGTTTAGAATAATGATGAGATTTGATGGATCATTAACGCTCGATTTACAGGAGTCAACCTGAGCAACCGTCGGTATGTCATTGACGAGACTCTCGGTGCTGTTGACGTCTTCATCGACTTTGCGACTGTCCCGGACAGCCACGAGTTCCGAGTCGAGAAAGGCAAGCTTCGCTACGTCCATACCATAACTGTGATGGGTGGTTAAAGAGTATGAGGAAAAGGTCCTATTCCTGTAGAGAGCCTGGTATCGCGGGTTGATTGAAAAGGAAATGATCGGGCACGTATAGCACATGTATGGGGGTATAGTGAATAGAAAATAAAACATCATTGAACAGTCTTACACGAAGAGATAGGGGCAATAGGTTTTCTACCATATTATAATAGGTACCCAGGTAAGTAGTAATTTATTTTCTAAAATATGCGTCTTTCCTCGACGTATCGAGCGATATAACCGCGAATATGCTGGGATGCAGCCATCATAAAGACCGATAATGCCTAGAATAAAGCATTTAGAGACGTACCGATTTGAATGTACCTTGAATGTATAATGTATAATAAGGTTGTTAATCTATAAAAGGTGTTATTAAAATATCGAATATATAAACCTGGCTACGAGATCTTACTCTGTCCAAGTAAAGACAATCGTAGCCAACGGAATAAGCACATGGGAAACGGCGAGTCAGGTGTTTGCTGCATTTATCGCTATCGCCGAGACTTTTCACGATAGTAACAAAAATTGTGTGGCAAGTGGGTCTTATTCGAGATCCACTCCGTTTGGCCTGTTCTAGGCCCCGGCGTAACAATCCATCTCACTTTTTTTTTTTTTCCTAATTCATAAAACCCTCACTACATAGTCGCTCGTTATCTTATGTTCTTGTTTTTCTCTTTTTTCATTTGTTAGGTCATCGACCCCGGAGACGGACCGCGAGTCTGACCGAGGACTCCAATGAACCCAGCGGGTCATTTGCTGTCTCCTACGAGCAGCCTGCCGCCTTTACGTTCGTTGACTGCACTCAATAGGGAACGAATATTCTCGGCTCTAGATAACCTTTATGAGCTATATTGCCCCGTCTCGTTACCACGGGCAGTTAAGTCGCAACTCGAACATGGGAAGGCTCATGATGATTTGCTAGTCCAACTGGTCGACTCTGGGTACGTCTCCGAGGATGGTATAGATTCGGAATATGATCTCGACGAGTTACGTGCAGACACCTTCGAGCGCAACTTCGCTATTCGCTGGTTGACGACTTTAATCGCCAGCGCGGAAGAGCTGCCCCTGGGTAATGAAGACGAGCGCGAGCAGGCGGTTGATAAAGCCTCCTTCATCCTTGCCTCGTTCACTAAACTTGCGGACGAAGATGACGAAGAGGATTCCGGAATTACACGAGATTTTTCTTTCGAGTTGGCGCTACCCTCCGATCAAGGCCCCCCTAGGTTAAAGGAGTCTAGTATCCGTGAAAAGGTCTCGATAGACGTGCGACTCAATGATGCACCACAAACCACCACAGACCATACCGATGTTGGCCTACAGAGCTGGGGTGCATCCATTATTTTCTCCGACCTACTATGTTCGTCACCAGGCCGGCTCGGACTTGGTCGAGAAACCCTCGGCTCGTCTCCGCGTATCATCGAGCTTGGTGCTGGGACGGGACTAGTTAGTCTTGTTCTTGCTAAAGCGCTACCTCACTTCGGTGTATCCGATGCTACCCTGATAGCAACAGACTATCATCCAGCTGTTCTTGAGAATCTACAGTCTAATGTTAAGCTTAGCCGGGTAAGCATAGAGACATGCTTCCTCGATTGGTCCGCCCCTATCTTGGAAGCACCGCTCGACTTATCAGCAGACATGCTAGTAGCGACCGACGTGATATACGCACCTGAGCACGCTATGTGGCTTCGAGACTGCGCGACCCGCCTGCTCGCACCTAAGGGTGTGTTCTGGCTGCTCATGACCATACGCCCGAATGGCCGCTTCGAAGCTGTGATTGACTCGGTCGAAGCCGCCTTCAACAGATCACACTCCAAAACCTCAGACAACCGACATCTTGCAATTCTGAACATGGAAGGTGTTGAAAAGCGCCGTGGCGTTGGACGTGGAGATGAGAGCGGATATAAACTATTTAGGATTGGGTGGGCTTAGATGAATAAACTAGAGTTACATAGAAGGATGGTAGACTTATAGAGCTAGACGTATGGTAGAGTTGCAGTATAGAACATTTCAGGGCAGCATAGATATAAAGGCGTACTAGATACCTAGGCTTGTTTTAATTTATTATCTTAATAGCTTATATGAAATTAGTATACATGACAGCAAAAGTAATGCCACCCCATCCCGGAAGTCGGATTTTATATACCTAGTTAAAAGTTGTCAAACATATGAATAGGGAGTGATAGTAGATAATGAGATGTCCTTACCCCTAACCAACTGCTCAATCCTAAAAATAAAGAAAGGAATTATTCTGCTCGCTTGACGGAAAATGGATTTGGCGTGAAGATCCCATACGGATCAGCTCTCTTCCTAATCTCACGAAGTTTGTCATACTTAACCCTGTCCTCATAGTAACAGTTCCACACAGCATCCAAATCCCAATTTCCGTATGAGCCCCAGAGCACGCGGCGGTCCTCTTTAGAAAAGATACCGTTAGGGCCGATGGCCTCCTCGTCGTTCACCTTTTGCCAGTCTTCGGCTCGCGTTTTGGTTTCGTCGCTGTGGAAGCAGTCCAATGTGCACAAGATACTCGTGTCTCGCCAGCTGTACGCCGTACCGTTTCCTGCATTCCGCGTGAACATGGAATTCTTCCCACCGAAACACTGTAGCTGTGCCGACAACCAGCACCGGTTGTGTTCGGGTCGAACGATAGAGTCGATACGGTTGACAACCCAGTCGGCCCAGCCGTCTTCGGCAAGCGTGTGCGAACGAGTAGCGTAAGTGCGCTTGACGTATGGGTGCTCGAACTCGCGCACGTTACGGAAGATCCAGTCACCAGTGAGCTGCGACATGGGCTTCTCCTCGACATTGCTGTTACCAAGGATCCAGTCGGAACCCTCCTTAATACGATCGAACCACGAATTATCGCACGCGTCACCACTCTCGAACGGCACCCACTGCGCAAACACGACAATGGTACGCGGCCACGCAATTAGGCCATTTTTGCCGTAGTACTCTGGGTGCTTCCGTGCCATCCACTCGTCGATCCCTGGGCATAGATCGAGTAGAGGAAATGCCGAGCTAAGCACGCTGATGCAGAGGTCGTAGTTACGAGGGAAGTTATCATTGTCAGACATCTCAACAAGGATGTCAACTAGACGTTTCAAGGTTTCGGTGTCGTAGAAGTACATCGCCTTCATACCCCTAGAACCGTTATAGTCTTGGTCGCGGTGCATCTGGATAGTGAAATGAGTCAAGACCCCAAGATTACCGGGACTGCCACCCAAGAAAGCCCAAAAGAGGTCTGGGTCAGTGGCTTTAGTAATTTCCTTGAAGTTTCCGTCGGTGTCTACGATCTCAAGAGACAGTACGTGGTCCCCGAATAACCCGAAACTACGGCCAAGTTGGCCGTAACCTATTGTCCATTAGTAAATGATGTCTTAACAAACTGCAAATTCCATTCAGACTTTTAACAAAAGGGATCTTACCTCCAGTCTGTACGTGTCCGCCTACATGAACCTCGGTGCATTGCCCATGAGGTACAAATAGATTATGTTCCGTAACCCATGCATTGAACTCCCCAAGACTCCAGCTAACGCTAGTGCGAGCATATGCCTTTCCATCTTTCTCGAAGATAGTTCGGTCCTCTGGACCCCTAAACGAATGCTCTAGGTCCAGCTGGATATTTGGAGCGCTCGTGGACGAAGCTCCACTATATTGGTGGCCGCCCGTCTTGATGGCCACCGCGATTTTCTTCTCTTTAGCATACTTTAGGGCTAGTACGATATCCTCCTTTGTTTTGGGTTGGACAATTAGTCCTGGGTTGAGGTCGCGTTCCTTGCCGTAAGTTGATGTAGCGTACTGATACTTTACTTCATCGTATTCCTTTGCTCCTGGTATATATTGGTTACCACTAATACCCGTGATAGTTGCCATAGTGCTTGGGGTAAATTTATATTTTCCTTGTACTTCATATGATGCTCACTATCCGAGGAGCATATGTCTCGGTACTTATAGCCCTACATGTCTCTATGAGACTCCGACGGGGTTCACCCGGTACACTCAAGAGCTTATCATGTGCTTGACTCAGCTGTCAGCTCACGTCGTATGCATCCGACTTTTCTTTACGCCTTTGGCACGAGATGTATGATGCGGATATATCTTACTTGGTGGTATCCGGAGTCTTACGTTAGCACAACAAAGGACCGGTTATGAGAAGAAACCAGCCTACCACCTATTGTAAGACACTATTAAGGTACTAGTTTACGGTCTAGGACTATCTATTAGCAATTGTAATAGGAAATCATTATCATCCTGTAGTCCAGTCTCACATCACGTATTTTACGTAAGAGTGACAATACAGCAACTATTATAATTGTTCCGAGCTGAAAGCCAAGGTAGTTCTCTACTTCGTCGAACTAGCGGAAACAAACCAAAAAAGCAATCAATTGATGAGTACCTCTTATAATATTGTCATATTGACTTAATTATTATGGCTTATGCTAATTCGGTAATGCCGGGTCGGTGACTATTACCCTCCCCGGACTGGCAGAAAGCAAACTCTCAAGGTAATCTGTCAGCAAATATGTCGCTATTACCCCGAGACTTGATAATCCCATAATATCCATCCAGAGGTGTAGCTCAAGCTGGATGCCCAGCTCCCTACCTAAGGTGCCTATTCGTCATGACCGCTTCTCGTCAGTTTATGTATGACTTTATTAGGACAGGTAGCTTCTATAACTGGGGTAAATGTGACATAATATTTTGAGGACGGGGAACATTTATCCTGCTGAAAGACAAAGCTATCAAAAATCTATTACCACTGAACTTTTCCATTTTATCATATAGAGGCGTCTCACCTGTAAAACTTCTATTTCGTTTCCGCTAATTACCTAAGATATAGTGTCTATAGATATTTGTTAGATAGTAGAGTAAGGTCGGTAAACCGCTACGCAGAGACGGGTATACGAATACATCGCCATTCTAATGCGATAACTGGTAAGATTCTCGAATCAGTTGTACCCAGTCAATCCCAGCATACTCGCTAGGAAAGCGGTATTCCTTCTCAACGCACCTAGTATCTCCCTGAATTTTGAACCAATTATCCCATCCGATTCCAAGACTTCCGTAAACCTCCCTGGCCGATGGCTCTTCTGAGCCCATCATTACGTACGGGCTTTCTGGCCACACATAGCAACCACTGCCACCGGAAAAGTTTATATGCTCCATATTTTGCCATGATTCTGATGTATACCCACTATCTTCATTATTATCGGTAGTCGTAGAGCCCGCTACGTCTTTATCAAACTTACTAGGATCTTGAGATGGTTCATAACTGAAGTCTAAGTCTGATGGGCAGGAAGCTCCGTCCAGATCGAAATATAGTGCAATGATTTCATCGTCTTCGAGCTCAGCTCCTTTTCCTTGCGCCATTATCCTTAGTTTCTTGAGTTTCAGCCTTCAATTGAGGACCTAAATTTGACAATACAAGTAGAAATTGCTATTGAGGGGGTTACCAAGAACAAGAAACTATTTTAATTCTTGCCCTCTCTGACCATATTGTTTAAGTGTCAGAGAACATGAAGCTATGAACGGACACCGTGGCTAATTTGTATCGCATCAATATATCTTGCTAATATATACGACCGCAAGTTTGACTCGAGTTCATTGTAGAACTTATTGAAAAGAAGAAAGGTATTATAGTATACAAAGATAGCTATAAGGAAGACTGCGTTTTAAATATGAACAATGATCAATTGTTAGGACAATGTATTTAATGTAAAGAGACCTATAAAAAGCATATTGTTATTTACGTAATCCCTTAGATACTTTGGTGGATTTGGAACCTCGGGTTAAGTGTATACGACTATTAGGAATAAGATGATTGCCGAAGGCTACGAGTAGTTCACGCAAGCCTGTTGGACGCCTCCTTGGCTCTCCTTCTAGAAAGAAATCGGAGCAAGGTTATTTAAAAGTTTGAAATGCCAAGTTAACGTAAAACATCTCCGATGTTCCTAATATATTTAAAAAATCGAAACAGCCTTCAAGTACCTAAGATAAGGAATTATACTGCACTACTTCTTTAACAAGTCCTTTTTTAGACACCTTCAATCCTTTGAAATGATACTAAGAAAATAATTGACAATGCTCTTGTATTACCTATCTCCTCAAGTGCGAGGGAGACACGGTACATTATCCATTTACATCTGATTTGTTGATACTTTTGCACCATTCCTAAAGTGGCATGTTTTGAGTCTTTTCAAAGTCTTAATTTGTCAATATAAATAAGTGGAATATGTACTTGTGTCTCCCTCGCACTTGAGGACATAGCAATATGTATATTCACTAATACAGGAAAAAGGGGGGCTTAGTCAGCTCACCAGCCACGTGTAATACTGAGCAGGTAGTGGACCTCGGTATCGTTGTGGACCTACCTTAGAAGCAACACGTCTTAAGGAATTATTTATAATCTTGAATTTTCTAGAATCTAAGCTAAATTAATATAAAACTTAGAACACATTAGAGGTAGTTAGGTAATTCTATTCCGAAACTGAACTGCAAGCGGAAGCACAGAAAATCATAATGACCGACCCGGAGCCCATCCAGGCCGAAACACACCGCCCCTTTGTGCTAATCGTCTGTCACTCCTTAACGGGACATCTCTCCCCCTTGATACGCATAGCTACAGCCCTTCACGCGTTAGGCTGGGAGACCTTCTTCCTGGGACCGACCGCGCACCGCCGAGGTATAGAAGCGGCCGGCGCCGTCTTTCTGCCTTTACGGGAAGATGCCGACCTCGACGATAAGGCGTACTATGAAAACCCGCCTTCTCCCGGATACGCAGCACTGCACTGGGCTGACCGCGTGCTGGTTGATCTGCGCAGGCAGTGTCTCGATCCTCTTCCTACGCAATGGTCCTGCTTCGTGGACGCCCTGAGAGTGTTACGGACTCGCGATCCGGGGCGCAAGATTATCTTATTAGCCGAGGCATTCTTCTATGGCACCTTACCGCTGTTCTATGGCGCATCACTTCCCCATGATTTGAGATTGGAAGAGATTCTATTAGGATCATTGTGCGTCTCGGTGACTATACCCGCGATCCGTAGTGTCGACTTACCGCCTGCTGGGTATCCCTTCCCCTTCGACTCGTCACCAGATGGCCGCGTGCGTAACGCAGATCTCTGGGAAAGGAGTTGGGAGCGCAAAGCTAGCTACCTAACTGCACTCCTGGTTACTAAGATGCGCGAGGCGGGTGCTAATCCCCCTGTTGACGAGATATTCCTCTCAGGCGCAAATTATCTGTGTCATGATACTATCCTACAGCTCGGCGTCCCTGGGTTTGAATATCCACGCAGTGACTGGCCTCCTGGCTTCAAGTTTGCGGGGCTAGTACAAGGCCCGCCACCGAGCAGCAAATCCGGAACGCAACCTTCTTCTCATACTCCTGCTCGTAATAGCAAAATTCCTAACTTCCCTTGGTGGTCTGAACTCACATCCAATACCGCCCTTTCTACCCTTCTACCCTCAGACCCGCGCCGCGCCGCAAAAAAGAAGGTTATCGTCGTCGCGCAAGGTACCATAGAGATCAACCCCTACGATCTGATCGTACCTACACTGCATGCCTTCGCCAACCGGTCGGACGTGCTGGTTGTTGCCATACTCGGCTGGAAGGATGCCAATCTATCTAGCTACGGTGTCGATATTGAGATTCCGCCTAACGCTCGTATTGCCGACTACCTTTCGTACGATGCGGCACTGGCCCACGCTGACGTATGGGTACATAACGCGGGGTTCGGCGCTGTGAACCACGGTATTGCGAACGGGGTCCCTATGGTAGTCGCGGGCGAAGGAATGGATAAAACGGAAAACTCGCGACGAGTGGCCTGGTCCGGGATCGGAGTCGACCTCGGCTGCGCGAAACCATCAGTTGAGCAGGTTAGAGGAGGCGTTGAACGCGTGCTAGAAGATGAACGGTTTACAAAATGCGTGCGGGAGCTACGGAAACAGAGCCAGGAGATAGACTGCTTCGGCATGGTTCACAGTGAACTAGTTAGGATAATGAAAACACGGCCTGGCATTAAGCAACGGAGTCTAGAGTCTGAATGAAAAGGGTTCGCATTTACTACCTGCTGCCAAATTTTGGCCCGTGTCCACGTGCAGAATGGTATCAGATCAATCAAGTTGCTTCCTGTAAACACTTCCATCGATGATTAACTTCCTAGCACCCTCCTATTTAGAGAATACAGTCCATGGGAAGCCATCTCAACCCTCCTTCCAGTATCTCTACATACTCGTATAACCGGCATATTTTTAGCATTAAGTTGTACTTAATAACGCCGTGTTGAGAGGACATGCTTCGTGCCATATAACTGGCAGGATGACCAGCTTATCGAACGTGTGCCCCTAAATATAGACAATAATCCATTGAGAAAGGATTGACAATTATGGATCGATAAGGTAATAAACGAGGTGTGGACTTTATCGAGCTGTATCCTGAGTCTCGGGATAGTAACATCCGCCGGCTAACACGAGGTTCATACGGGTGAACTGAACCTTCATGACAGGTGTTTTCTTCGTCGGAAACGCGCTAATCTGGTCTGGTGTTATCATAACGTCCTTGCCCTTCCTCTTACCCGTACCGCCAGCTGCACCGCTAGCAGGTTGCGTTGTCTGCCCGCTTTGTTTGCTGTCGCCTTGTCCACCTGCCGCAACAATTGTGCTATCCCCGTCCTGTTGGTTTGCGGGACGACTGCCTTCGGCCGGCATCTCAACATCCCAAACGCGCACCGTGTTATCCTGTCCACCGGATACGAGCACGTTACTCTCGACACTAAAGCTGAGTGACCAAATTCCACCACGTCCATGGCCACGACAACGCTTAATACGAGTGGCCTTATCTATATCCCATAGAAAGATGTTACCACCAATATCAGCTGACGCGAGGATCTTGCCGTTAGGGGCACACTCCATTGCAGATATGTATTCGGTATGACCCGTAAATATACGGACGCAGTTGCCGCTAACCACAGACCACATACGGATCGATTTGTCTGTCTCATCGGAGGCTGAGAATACATACGTGCCATTGGGATGCCATGCCACGGCCGAAATGGCGGTGTCGTGGCCGACAAGGATACGTTGTGCTGATGCGTGGTCTTGCGACCAAACTCTGACGGTTTTATCCCACCCGCCAGTCACAAAGTAGTGACCATGTGGACTCCACGAGAGAGAGAAGACTGGACCATCATGACCCCTATAAATGCAAAGGCAGGCCCAAACCTCAAGAGACCACAATCGTACTTGGCCATCGGCCGAACAGGAAAGAAGAAGCTTGGTATCTGTCTCCGGCTGAGGCGAGCCTTCGTAAATATTACGATCTAAGTTGGCTACAGCATCCGAAAAAGCCACCGAATAGACGGGAGCAGAATGGCCGATCAACTTGCGGTTGTTGACTTTCATGTCCTTCTCAGGCCCCAGACGAGACTTCAAGGCTTTGCCGTCAAGAGACCATACGCGAATGTATGATTCTGTCGTTCCTACCGCCACAAGTTCTTGGTCTTTCGAGAAGTCCATGCACGAGATGCTAGATGAAGTTAACACGAAGTCCTACACTAGCCAGCTAACGTAATGCTTACCTCCCGAGATGATTGTGGAATGTAAACATGCAAACTGAAATGCCAGGGCCTACACCACCGGTTCGACCTTCAATTCTAAACCGATCTCGGTTCTCTCGAACTTTCTGCATTTCCATGACGACGTCCCTTGCTCTTGATGGAGGGTATGGAATATCTGTTCGCTGCGGAGAATCGCCTGATTCTCTCTTAATAGGATGCATGGCATTAAATTCTTCTACCAATGTAGGCAATCCTTCTCGGGGTGGACGAAGCCTATCCTCTTCTTCCAACTCAGCAACAACATCACCCCGGAGATCAGGATCTATCGGAAGTGGTCCAAGCTTCAGAGCGGCCGTATTGTCCAGGATGTTGCGGTTGGCAAGCCCACTACGGCTGGAGACACCTGGGATACCCTCTTGGATGTCGACTTCGTCAAGTTCCTGATGCCGAGCGCGGCGGTAAATAGCTTCGAAGCTAAACGGCTCGATAGGACCCCGATCCACAGAATCAACGCGACAGTGTTGTTGTATAATATCAAGAACTACGGCTCCACACTGTTCCAACTCTCGCTCCAAAAAGTGGAATAGATGTCCCGTTAGAGACTTGCTGATCGGAATGACGTACTGATTCTCTAGATACGCCTTGGCGAACGCGTTCTCCCGGACGTGTATGGAGAGGGTTATGGTCGACAGACTCTTCAACTCGTCTTGATGCGTCTTTTCAAACCGGCTCCGGATTTGCTCCATAAGTTCCTGTGCATGAGTATAGGAAGCCTGGCTAACCAAGCGGAGGTAGGAGTAAATGAAGAGAGGCCAAAGAATCTTTCCCAGCTCAAACTATCCACGGGTAAGATGACCGTCATCTAGTATTTAGCTAGGAATAATACATACCTTGTAAAGATCGACTCCATTATCAACCCATCTTGCAAAATGTTTGAATGCCCTCAGATACTTTCCCGCGGGAAGGAACTTGTTGGGGGCCACTGCATCAACATGATCTCGAGGTTTCCCGTTCTCGTTAATATCCTTCACCTCCTGACGGAAGATCTCTTCTGTACGGTTATACCCTTTCTTAATGAGGTAATCCGTAACCTAAAAGATGCAATTAGCCTTGTTTAATATTAAATGAAGTATAACTAAAGCGAAAGGAAAAAACCAATGCAAAGCCAGGCATACTAGTTCAGGGAAGGGTCTTGGTGGAACTTTTGGTATATTAGAATTCTGGACATGAGTTCGACTGGTGTGGATGTGCCCGCCGGAAACTCTAGGCCTCTTCAGAACGTCATTCCGGAGTGGAAGTTGAGGAACAGGGCGTTTTGACATGGTGGTAGGTTATGAACGTAGATAGAAAGTGGTCTGAACGATGATTCAGATTGAATAGACCGGTATGCTCGCGCGCGCGTCTTAATTGCGGGCTAGCACGAGATAAATAGACATTGAGTGGTAATTTGGCAATTACCTATTGATGAAGAATATAAGAGATGGGAGAAGAATGTTTGTAGTGATGGAACAGCTCACTTCAAGAAACTGGTGACGAAGGTGTCGTGGGAAACTTGAAGGAGATGATGACCTTCAGGAGTGAAACCTTCAGGGGTGAAAGTTTGTTGAAGCAATGAAAATAATTGAAGAGAAAAGTTACGGCTTACGATTTGGTTTAGATTCTGGTTGCTACTGCCAGTTGCTGTAGAAGCTGAGGTTGTAGCGGGGTTGCTAACAGCACCGGGAGTCGTAGTTGACGGCTGCGGTTGGGGTGTGAAGTTATTGCTAGATGCACCTCCGGCACTTGGCGGTGCTGTATTAGACATGGCGATAGTTATACAGGATTCGCGTATTTAATCGACTATAGAATTTCGATGCCTAGCAACAATAGCCTAGCAACAATACTACATCAGCATTACGATGATTCCCATAAAAGCTGAATGAGAACCTAAAGATAGCATAGCGTTAGCATATTTGATTTGATGAGATTTGATGAGACGCGACGGGAGTTTAGAGGTTGAGGCTCAAAACTGAAAAGGACAGGCTGATGCAGGTACGTACACAAAATAAGGTTGAAGGCCCCACCGTATTCCCCGGGTGCTTTTTACGTATTGTATTAGGCAGGTAAGTACCTATGTATCAGTGATGATGATGACTGGATGATGCACATGCCAAAATGTGATCTGTGAGTAAGCTCAACTCAGGTGCAGCTTAGATATTTCCATGTACGTACCTAGGTACTCTGGTACTCTAACACATGCAACTCCACATGCATCATTGTGCATTCTCTCTCCTACATGTCAAAGTTGCAATGCATCCAGGTTAAACATATCATCTTTCTTTCTTTTAATCGATTTGACCCGGAGCAAATTTCCTTAGGCAGCTTCTTACCACGGTACAAGCCCCACGATGGAGACCGATGAACAGCAACCCCAATTTGTCCCTTTCACCAAGGCTGAGCGCATTGAGCAATTAGGCGAGATCGATCGGGTCCGTTACCTACATCATTTTACCCCTAGTTACCTTCTAAAACTAATGTTTAATTAGAACATCGTAAGCCTGCTACGCTCCACTGCTCAAGCCATTCAAACCCTCGGAAGGCAACAATCCCAGGGAGAGGATACTATCATGACAGGCGACAAAGACCAGCAATCACAGGTCTTCCAAAGCTCGATGAATGACTTCCTCCGTACGCTACGAACCGTTAACGTCGGTATGAAACGACAGATATGGGGTCTTGAAGAGGAGCATATCGTATCGCTGGAAAATAAGGACGGTCCTAACACTAGGGATGAGGGCGGCGAGGCCCAGGGAGCTAGTAATCGCAATACCCCAATCAAGCCGGATGGCGATGGGAAGATTGGTGGACTCGATGTGGGCTGGCTTAACAGCCGAAGCGACGAGGTTGAGAGGGGTATGGAGACTGATCTCTGGGCCGAGGCCGAGTCATTTCTACAACGGATTCTAGAGCAACGCGAGACCGCCCAAAGCTAAGAACAGAAAGGGATATGCGACGAGTTTACTTTATGGTTGACTGAGATGTCCCACACGATAAGGGTTAAAATAGGACAGCATTATTTGGCGGCGTTTAAGGAGTAGGGGTATACCACAGGGCTTGTCCATCTTCAGTCTGCCTATGTATGTATTAGGTAGCTGAATTGTTTTATTTTTATTTTTATTAAAACTGATATGAATTCTAGCTGATAAGGTCTCCTGGTCGATGTTCGTTATTAAAGACGCGATCCAATACTTAACTGTATAGACTTAATCACATATCACGAATTAAATACCTGAGATATACCTATGTACTATTACATTTGATATCAATTACCTACCTAAGGTAATCATATTGAAAATACGCCTATAAGCCTTTAAGCAAGTAGATATGGTGCTTGTATAGGTGTTCGTATGTAGATCCCTAAATTGAAGTACCTATAAATTTAGCACATGTAAAGGCACCTTTAGCCCCACTTTGCGAAAGTCGGAGAGGTAGGCTGCCACCGCCGCACCGGCAGCACCAACCGAAAGCTAACGTAACACCTCCAAAAACATCATAGGCTTATCCCATACATGTAGCTTTCATCAACTCTCCTACATAATTTACGACGCCCTCAATTCCGCGCCAGCTACGCTTCATTGTCAACTGTGAAGCATCCATCATGGATTTGGGAGAAGCAGGCGATTCACCTTGGGGTGGTATGATTACCTTATCCTCTATTTGTCCTGTACAATTTGCTTAACCATTATCAGATGTCCCATCCCAGTCAACTTCGATATCTCCTACCTTCGACCAAGAGGGTCTGTTTATTTCACCCCGCCCACAACATACTATACACAGTCGCTAACACTAGGTGAATTATATAGAAAGTTCTACAAAGACTCAAGATGCTGAGACCTCGCAGCAATCGCAATCCTCTGTTAAGTCATCCGCCGGCCGCCCATCCAGGGGTCCAGTGCGTCGCCTAGTAGCCCAGCCGACGAAACTCGAAGCCGTCGATGATCCTCTAGGTCCTTTGGGTCCTCTAGGGGCCACTTCTGGACCAGGCGCAGATTCGCAGGCTGATGAACCGCCAGCTCCACCGCAGAAGGAACAGATGGTAATTCGAACAACCATGCCACCACCGGCGCAAAAGAGACCGGGACCTACGGATCCTCACCACATTGACGATGAAGAGTTCGACCGCCCGGTTGGCCCAAGAGCCCCTCCTCCCGTACAGGCTGCGCAACCAAGCCCGATCAAGCCCGCGAGTCAGCCTAGCGTTAGCATAGAACAGGCAGCCAAACCCAGCTTCCGTATTGCTGTCGGCGACCCGCACAAAGTCGGAGACTTGACTAGTTCACACATTGTTTATTCCGTTCGTACGCAGGTATGAAGAAGACGAACCCGGGCCGACACTTATGATATATGCTGACCTAATGGCGAGTAGACAACATCGAAAGGTTACAAGCAACCCGAGTTTGAGGTTAAACGCCGATACCGCGATTTCCTATGGCTTTATAACACAATGCATGGGAACAACCCCGGTGTTGTTGTGCCGCCTCCTCCTGAGAAGCAAGCTCTTAACCGCTTCGAGAGTAATTTTGTTGAGTCTCGTCGAGCCGCTTTAGAGAAGATGTTAAACAAAATTGCCGCACATCCGACACTTCAGCATGATCCCGATCTTAAGTTGTTCTTAGAGAGTGAGTCATTTAACGTCGACGTCAAGCACAAGGAAAGGAGAGAGCCTATACCCGGGGAGAGCAAAGGCGTTCTGGGATCTCTTGGTATCAATGTTGGAGGTGGTAGCAAATTTGTCGAACAAGACGATGTAAGTTTCTGGGTCTTCCTTTCGGACATAATTTCTAACCATTTATAGTGGTTTCACGATCGACGAGTTTATCTAGATGCTTTAGAAAATCAGCTCAAGGCATTAATGAAGTCTATGGATGTCATGGTTCACCAACGCAAAGCTATGGCAGAAGCAGCGGGCGATTTCTCTGCCTCCTTACATGCTCTATCGACTGTGGAGCTAAGTCCTACGCTTTCCGGGCCACTAGATGCCCTGTCGGATCTGCAGCTTACTATACGAGATGTCTATGACCGCCAAGCCCAGCAGGATGTGTTGACTTTTGGCATCACCATCGATGAGTATATTCGATTGATCGGTAGCGTCAAGCAAGCATTCACGCAGCGGCAAAAGGCTTTCTATTCGTGGCACAGCGCCGAATCTGAGCTGCAGAAGCGCAAGTCCGCTCAAGACAAGCTGCTTCGGCAGGGAAGGTCGCAACAGGATCGCCTCAACCAGGTTGGCGCCGAGGTGGCGGACGCCGAACGTAAGGTTCATCAGGCCAGGCTACTGTTCGAGGATATGGGGAGATTGATGCGATCTGAGCTTGATCGTTTCGAGAGAGAAAAGGTGGAAGATTTCAAGTCTTCTGTCGAGACTTTCCTAGAGAGCGCCGTCGAAGCGCAGAAGGAGGTGAGTAGAATTGGACCTATTTCTATGAAAATAACGCTAACTCTCTTGATAGTTGATTGAGAAGTGGGAGACGTTCCTGATGCAGCTGGATGCAGAGGACGATGAGACGGTGTTCTACCGCCCGCCTGTCTACCAGAGTAATGATAAGTCTACTGGGCGCGGAAACACGGCAGTAGATCGAGCACGGGCTACTATCGATCAAGATTCAGACTAATAAAATTATATGGTCATCTTTATAATTTGACGTCTTTTTTATACGATTCAGATGGCGAAGATTCAGTCGAGGCTTTGGACAAGTGTATACATAGTTGTACAAATGCTATGGGAGAAGAGAGGCATTCGGTTGCCCTTCACTCCGTAATCGCTAACAGCTCCCTCGTCACAAATGCTAGCATACCAAGTTATTATATACGCTGGCAAGCTCCCATCTCGTCATAGCACTTCGAGATTCTTTCGTACTGCCTTTCAGCTTCGTAGATAACAGAGCAGGTCGTCCCCTAGAATGTCGGTAGGCTCAAGCTTCCACTTCACCTATCTATAATTCCCGTCCCTATTTCTTCTTTCCCGACTGTTTGGCCGGCCTGGTCGACTCTTTAACCTGATCTTGGTTGGTTGAGTAGTTGGAGATCAAATCGCTTAGTGTATCGTGGCGCCCATCCACAGGGTCGCTCTGGCTCGTCTTCTCAGCTGCGGCTGCTGGTTTTGCTGCAGCTTCCTCAGCTCCCTCAGCTCCCTCGGTACCTTTACCACCCTCCACAGTAGCAGCATCGGCGTCCTCCTCCCGTGGCCCCTCGGTATCCCATCCGCGTCCGAACCTGCCGCGGAAAGCAGCCAGCTTACCGGCCTCGTCGACCTCGATGTTGCGCAGGGAGCTGTCGGAGGGCTGCCATAGGATGTGGTTGCGCGTGTCCTTGGTGCTCTTGTATAGCGCGATCGGCGACGTCGTGCGCTGCGTGTACGTCGATCCGTCTGTTTGCTGGACGAGCTGGGTGAATGTGTACGGTCGCCGCGGTCGACGGATGATGGTTGCGGCTCGTGAGGGTGTGTGGGAGAGTGGCGTGTGAGAGGGTTTTAATATGGAGGGTTGAGGGGTGTGGATGCTGATGGTTATATTTGGACGCCGTGATATGGCGCTTGGGAGTCTGGCCGCCATTGCAGTAGGTGTGTTTTTTATAAGTGTACTTTCGCAATTATTCAGTCCGGCGCTTCGTCAATTAGTTCGTTCTTTTCGCTGCGATCTCTTTTATGGGCGATATAATCGATGTTTCTTATTCTCGACTTTTTTTTGGTGGAGTGGAAGTTGGAAATTTCGATCCGGTTAAGCTTGCCGGCCCGGATACGGCTGGCGGGTCCGTTATCATTATCGCTATCCACTATCTTATCGAGATTTTTAAGCGGGAGCTTTCTAAGCTCGTCGACCTTGATTTCTTCTTTCTATGATGATGACGAAAAAAAAGCCAATTGGGCTTTAGCAATAGCATTGGTCTTCATGGACTGAAATGAAGAGTCTTGATGGTCTACGGTGGACGTTGAAGCCCACAAGGCCACGATATGCTTCCTTCTACACCATACCAAGAGCTCAGGTGAGCTTCTTGACCCGGAAGAGTTCCGGACAAGCCGGTGAGCACAACGTCATATAAGTATATCTCAGTGTATTCAAGCTTATAATACAAATGCGGTAGGTTCTCCTAGATGGTTATACCAAAGCAAAATACTCGAGAGGCCCGTCAAGCCCTTGAATCCTACACGGCATGTGCTATCTCAGCCTATGCGCGCTGTCATGCGCCAACTCCCACACCCCGTAGTCGTTATTACGACTCTGGAGAATGCGCATAGTATAGCCGAGCTCAGAGATGGATCCAAAGATCAGGTCCTACCTCCAGTCCCTAGAGCCATGACTGTGTCGTCATTTACGTCTTTATCTGTCGATCCCGTACCGCGGGTCACCTTTAATGTTTCTCTACCGAGCACAACTTATCAAGCCCTTATGAAATGCGGGAGGTTTAATGCTCATATACTCAGCAGCGACGACCATGGTGTTAGGATCGCGGATTTATTCACTCGAGGCAGCAGGCTTCCGACAGCTGAGGAGACAACTAAAGACGTAGGAGAACCAGACCTAGGTGTCCTGGCGGGTTTAGAAAAGCTCGGTGTTCAGGTGTTAGGGCGGGAGAGGTGGCGACAAGAATGGGAGCAGGCTAAAGACTATAGGGAAAAAGTCGCTGGCACCGGGGATATAGGTACGAATAACCCCGATGTCGACTTGCCGCCATCAGGCACTCTGCCGGTGTTACAAGGCCAAGGCGTTATGCACGTGTTAAAGTGCGAATACCGTCACTTATCACCTCCTGAAGAAGGAGACTTTGATCATCATGCCATTGTCATCGGCGAAGTCCTGGACATAATACCCGGAGAGTCTCAGAGCGAGAATAGCATCGCACTCGCGTATGCGGACAGGGCATACCGACAGATAGGGGAGAAGCTATTAGACAGACCTACATCTGACCAAGAATCCTCTTCAGACGGGAAGTCATAATGGCAGGTCGACGTATGTACAAGAAAATAAGAAAATTAGGCGTTCGATGAAAAGTTTACACCAATCTCTGTCTACTCCCGAACCTTACCGGACTACATCCATAGCTCTACACCTCTCAATTCCAACAGAGAGAGCGAAATATGCCCCCCCTCAAACATCTGCCATTCTTATTATACGCAAAATTATACATGAGACATAGTTCTAGTCGCGTTCATCATAAGGAAAAGGCTCCTATAGCGAGGCAAGATAGCAATATCAAATTTTGTATTCTCGCTTATACTTTCTCAATGCTCGAGATTTTTAGAAGGCCTTAACTATATTTCTTTTATAAAGGTCTAACCTTGGTATTCACTATGCTTAGGGGTTAGTCATGAATCAGTTACTACCTATCTATGTCTCAAAAGCATAGTTTAAGCATCGCTCAATAGAGTTCAGGTTGCCATTCCCGCTGCCAAATAATCATCCAAGTCAGAATCCTAGGAAGTCCTTTGAGTGATAAAAATGCCACATCCAACACTCTCCCGTCGCCGGGAACTATTTACCATCGTCCCGTCTAGTACGCTAGTAACGAGAATATTCCGCTACTTTAGTTTCAATGCCGTCCTTTTCTTTCGGATGCTACTCTTGCTCCATCTCTTTCCTTATTCCGTCTTACGACGAGTCGCAGGGCAAGGTAACATCAAATTTATGCGGTTCTCAGTCCCTAGCTAGGTAGGGTATAGATATAGTGGTAAGTAGACGTAATATATGTTCTTCAACCGATTCGCGACAGTAATGTGAGCACTAATACCCTTCTTTTTCTGGGACATCCATACATCAATTGTCAACGAAAGCTGAAACCTTTTCTGGAGGTATGTTTGGTGTTCTGATGGTTCTGTGAAGCGCATACGCCGCGGCTGGCCATCGAAGCCATCGACAGGCTATTTGAACATATTGGTATCTTGGTGTATGTATCAATACTATTGACGGTGGTGTGATTGATGAATACCGTGTATGTCGCAGGTGATGTAGTCGGAATTAATTGGTAGCGAGGAGTCTTGAATATAAATGCATCGTGTAATATCTGGATAGAATCCCTCAACGAACGATTCGGCTAGAACTACTCGTAATGGTTTAGGTACATAGGTCGTTATAATGAACTCTGCTCAAGGAAGAGCATATAAGATCTACATGTCTTGACTCGAGCCTAGAGGCCAGTCTGTTCGAGCCTGTCCAGATAACATCCTAGTCTATCGCCCATGAAGATAGGAAAACGGACTTACACTTAGATTCGAACAAGGCTTACCTATAGGAGCGATATTAAACTATAAATAACTTGACTTATTCTCTCGTATTTAGTAACTAGCCATGGGATTGACTAGATACCTACCTATGTAGGTATACATCTGAAGTACCATATCATTAATACATAGATGCCCCCTAACACCCTTATACCAAAATACACCATATATGGAAAAGGGGGAGAGGGGCAGCAAGTATAATACTCGCAAATAGCTACGAAAAAATCTATAAATCTTATAACCGTGGACCTACAAATCCTAGGTCTGGAAGTCTAAGCAGCTTCAATTTGGGCCTATACCAAAAGGCCCCCAAAACGACACAAGTCAAGACACTTAAAATATCTCAAGAGTATCAAATATTGCAAACTGGACATATTAATTTTATATTCAGTTGAGTTTCTAAGTTAACCCCTAATGCCAGCCAGGAGGGGTATCTGAAATCACCTAGCTGACCATCACGACTCAGCACTTAGTCTCTTCTTGTTCTAGTCGCTATGCAGGAGCCCTTGGGCACTCAGAAGCCGGCCCAGGACCCGTCTGTCTCCAATCAAAATCCTCGGGGCGTCTTCGCTACTCTAAACGAAACAGCAGCAAGGCCCTCGTTGCCCCGAAGCAACGCGCCAAAATTCGATAGTAAAATGAAGCAGAGGGCAATTATACAGCAATAAGATCAAATTTGGATGCCAGACTGAGGCAACCTGTGCTCCTTTGATGGATGAACGATTTACACGCCCTACTTACTCCGGAACGTTCTGTCCAAACCTGCAAACTCCGGTAACCTTTTTTTGCAAGCACCGAAAGAGAATATAATTAAAACATTGCGAAAAGAGTAACTCGTCTGCATTTTCCGCGAAGATGGCGTCTCGAGAGTAGTGTACGACCTCGACGAGAAGACGCAGGAAAGACAAAATCTCGATGCTGAAGGCGGTGATCCGAAGACAAAGGAAAATGCGATTAGCATATGCGGTGTTGGTAAAATAAAGCAACGCTGGATATGGCCGAGGTGCGAAAAGTCGTAACTTCGTTCAAGTTTAATCTATATCGTTTGCTCACGCGGATGGTCTTCGAGACGGGGGAGAACCGGAGGGATACCTGTATCAACCATGCCGGGGCCGGGCTGGTTACATGACAACGCAGCAACCGCACCCAGACTTGTTTGGTTTCTCTTCTTCGGGTTCTTCCACCTCTGTTGGTACTCTAGGATTTTGAGCAGTCTGGATTTGAGGCTGTTGAACCGAACGCGGGCTAGCGGCAGGTGCGCCTTGAATCTTGGGCATCGTCGAATAAGAGCTTGTGCCGGGCCGGCTCGTATTTGGACTCTTAGCACCAGGCCGTAATGGCCATTCTCCCTGTTGTCCCTGTTGTCCCTCTTCGGTCTCCTTCGGCTTCTCAACTTCGGGAGGTTTTAAGAAGCCCTCGTCATTAAGAGGGCGAAATTCCTTGTCATAAATATTTCCGAATTTGCCTTCCTGCTCCCATTTCTCCTGTTGTAACCTCTTTGCGACGGTAGGAAGGAGCTGCTGGTCTGGAGGCAAGCGAGGATCGGGTTTATATGCGGAAATCATCCATGGTGGATCGCCCTCTGGCGCAGATTTTGTCACGGATGGTGATAACTCGCCGGATCGGGTGGTTGGTCGTGTAGTAGAACCATTCCGAAGATTCGGACCTGACCGGGTCTTAGGTCGACCTTGTGTGTTTGTTTTAGTCGGCGCGGTGCCTTTCCTAGCTCCAGTGGAAGTTGTTTTCTTAGGTGATCCTTCCGTAACGGCACGCTTCGTAGGCTGAATTTTCGGGACACTATCCAGCGCGTTAGAACTACCGCTACGTGACCGTGATTTCGGCAATGAGATTGAAGGATCTTCGTCAAGCTTAGGGAAGCCTGGCTTGCGCGTTGCTGGCGCATCTCGCTCGAGGAAGTCGACAGGAATTGGCGCCGGGCTTATCTTGGCTACTGGAATGCGCGACTTGCTTGTATCGCTTGTTACCCAATACTCGCCGGGATCCTCTGCTATCTCCTCGGGGAGACGCAAGTCCCAACCCGGATTCTCGACGTCATTAGGTTTTTCTAGACTCAAGTCCGAATTTTTTCGAGATCTCGCAACCGGACGCTCCGATGCATCGGTACCCCGCCGGCGTCCGTTTGCTTTCTCTGGGCTACGATCTCGCCTTGGTCTGCTGTGAGCTCTTGGCTTGGGTAAGACAATTCCGGCGGCTTGAAGCTCCTGGTTCTCTATCCTAGCCAACTTATCCCTATGAATCCATTTCGAGTGTTCGTCATCGGGTTCTGAAGGTGAAACATCGGCATTCAGTCGCTTATGATCAGATGTCGATTTATTTTGACCTATGTAGATACATATGTTTTATTAGTGAAATTGTCCCATTCACTTTATGTCTGGCGAAGATATGGATATGTGAATTGGCCGGACTCCTGGAATAGAAAACTGACTAACCTTTACTGGATATATAATCATCTGTTGCATAGGGATCGTAGCTAGCGTCCCCATTCGCGATGTAGGAAGGACCTCTCATAGAACCGTTGGTCTCATGCCTATCTGTAGATAGCTTATGCGACGTGGAACTCTGTAAGAGAAAGTAAGCATCGTGTTAGTTTAGATTGGTCAAGCAGCAACAAATTGGGAGTCCATGAACCAATCAGATAATTTTCGTACTGGGCCAAGAATATAGGGACTTACATCATGATAGCCGGAAGATGCGTGATTCCATCCAGAATGATTTGCGTGGGAACTGGTTGGAGGAGTAAGAGTAGTAGTGCCCGAAACCGCCGACATAGCCGCCATTTCAAATATAAATTAAGGATAGCCAGTGTAACGGCGGATTCGTGGAACTTGGGTCGCTGCCGACCAAATCCAGTGTGACAAAGTATACCGAATATAGGAAACCGAAGAGCCGAGCGTGGATTAACGATATAATTTTATATTCGGGGCTATGTCGTAGCGATGGAAAATTTGAAAAAGCGCGAATGCGGTTGTGATTTAGCGACGATGGCGACGAGAATGTCGATGATAATAGGAGAGTTAATCGTAGTGGACGCGTTAAAACAGCAGTCGCCAGCGGCTGTCAGGTTTGGATCTGACGAGGATCGCGAGAATAGTAGCTTTAGAAATGAGTGACGAGAGGAGTTGACCACGAAAACGAGGTAGAATCAGAGTTAACTCCAATACCTATTGATTCGTTGTATCCTAACCAAGCCCCTAGAAGTCGTCCACGACGGACCGAACGACCTAGACAAAATGCGCAATCCGTCTCTTTTCCCCTTGTCGTTAACCCTATCAAGTTGTACGGCCACTAGATGGTTACCAATACTCGACTTGACTCGACTTCCAACCTCTACACGTACACGTACACTCGATACACTCGATACACTCGATCCCTTTCACGCACGCACGCGCCCTGGTTTCGATCCAATGGGGCAATTATTTTCATGGGATATGCAGACTCCTAAGGGAGACAAGCAGGTGACGATGACGAGAAAGAAAGAGGACGCGGAACGGTAGTGGCTGGGATTAGACTAGAGGTGTTAAGGAGCCGTCGTGGCCGTGGCGTGGCAGACTTGCAGAAGCAAATAATGTGGTCCAGGGCTTGGAAGTTCGGGGATTGACGATTTGACGATTTGACGATAGGAAAACGATGAGATGCATTCGGAAAGGGGATTGGTCGACTTGTTCTCATTTGAGCGGTTCATTAGCTTTGAACCTTGAAATGTCCCACTTGGGTCAAGGTCGGTGGTTGGCTGGTTACGGCAAACTTCCACGCATAAAGTTCTCATTTAGGTACATACCGGGGACTTTCCTAGGGGTACACGTACTGTATTATCGCATGTGATGGCCTACATTTGGTACATATTAGACAAAGTACAGATTACATAAGGCACATAAGGCAAGTCCGGTCTGGTGAACACATGCAGAGGTATGCGCGTACGTTCTTTACATGTACGAAATACCTAATGGGAAGAGATTTAACAGGTACATAAAGTTCTCGATACGATGGATGCGTACTTCCAAGACCTTACGTACATAGTTGCATGGATACCATGTTATTCTAGAAAAGAAGCTTAAAATTCAGTTTTATCTCTTTCGTAATTTATTAATATCTCGATAGCCTAATATTATGCATGAAAAAAAGAGAAGAAAAAAAGGTGAACACCTAGGGCTCGGACTGCCCCTGAATTTAATAAATGGCACTGTGAAATGCAACATTGGAGTACCACGCCAAGCCTCAACTTGACAAGGTTCGGTTAGGATCTTAGCCGCTTCATTGGTATTACATATGCTATCTACATTGCCATCAGCGCGGGGTTGACGAGTGACATGTTGATATATTCGTACTGTGTATAGCCTCCATTTCTTCCGCTATTTATACAGTTTAAAGCTAGCGTGGTGGACTGTATTCTAGAACATCTTAAATGCAACCCAGCCCTGCCTTTTTCGACATATGTACATTTTTAATACGGGTCCAAGCTCTAAGCAGCTAACACGAGTAATCCACTAAAGAATCCTCCAAGGAATCCGCTAAGGAATCCGCTAAGGAATCCGTGTATTCTGACATTCTGCAGAACACACAAATATCATAGCTCAATCATCCTCCATCAACCTCAAATAGAAATCATAGCACCTAACGGACGCCGAATTTATTAGGTGCCTACCTAGATACCTAGATTCAGTTATAGCTATACCTCTCAATTAGAGAATCATCACTGTTGCGTTCTCTAATTTACCTATTTCCTTTCCTTTTCCTTTCATTAAAAAGCAAATTCATTCTTCAACGTTGGTTTGTCACCCATTAATTTCGTGATATGCCTATCTCAAACACTGACATATTCATAAACGCCTTATCTAGGCAGCCGTCATGACTAAAGCTAGTATATATGTAGGTAGGTATTGTGGCGTAAGGGCGCTTAGATAAATTACTTCAATAATCTATAATATTCGGCGAAGCCCGACGGCACGAAAAGCACTACTCCTTGAATCTCCGGCAGCATGGGCGACTCATCTGTGTCCTCTTCCAAGGTCCCACAGCGGACTCGACGGACGCGCTTTGTCTGTATATCAGACACACACAACTGCACAGTGAAACTCCCAAAAGGCGATGTGCTTATCCATTGCGGAGACCTGACGAACCAGGGAAGTTTCGCTGAGCTATCGAAGCAAGTGGCGTGGCTTGAGAGAGCCGACTTTGAATGCAAGCTAGTTATCGCTGGGAATCATGACATTACACTCGATACCGATTTCTTCGAGCAGTACGGAAACTATATTCACAATAACAGTCCCCAGAATCCCATTGACTGCCACAACTTATTGACACAATCAAACTCGCTCATCTACCTCGAGCATTCGAGTTACACCGTCAAACTCGCCTCCCCGTCCGGGCCACGGACCACCTTCAATGTATTTGGCTCTCCCTATGTTCCCGACTGTGGGATGTGGGCCTTTCAATATTCGCGGAGGGATCCTGCACTTGCTGAGAATATATGGAGTGATATCCCACTCGACACCGATATACTCATCACTCACGGGCCGGCGCGTACACACAGGGATGAGTCTCATCATAGAGAGGCGTTAGGTTGCGAAAGTCTGCGACAAGCGTTATGGCGAGTACGACCGCGTATTGCGCTCTGCGGGCATGTCCACCAAGCTCGGGGTGTAGAGCGTGTTCGTTGGGACCTGTCGAACAAATTTGTGCGGTACAAAGAGTTAGAAAGCAATTATCAGTGGGAGGACCCCGGCGTGAGGAACGAAAAGAACTGCCTGGTCGATCTCACCACTAAGGGCGGTATGCCCTTAGATAATGATGGCAGCAAGGCCTCGCTATCATCAACACCAACAGCGTATACGGCTGACGAGTCTGCGAAACAGAATACGACAGGAATCGCAACGAATATGAAAGCAGTGCTGACAGAAGGAGCTAATCCCGGCATCGGGACCCGTGGTCTTAGTGGGAACCCGGCATCCGCTCGGAGTGATGGACCAGCGCTAGCCGGGCGTCTCGGGCGCAAGGAGACATGCATTGTAAACTGCGCCCTCCAGCGAGCCAGCTACCCTCATTCCGGGCCACGGATGCTACACAAGCCTATCGTGATTGACATCGACCTCCCTGTCTGGGGCGATGATTCTTAAGCATTTAGCCACCCCGAACTTCCCGGGTGTGGTTGCTTTCGTATACGCGCATTCAGGCCATGCTAGACGGCGCCCCGTAAACCGGTACGTAGAGGTAGTAGGCAGTGACAGCTTAGGCCTTTCGAGAGGCTCAAGTCTTGTTGCCTTCGGCTATGAAAGATCATATTTGTCACAAACTGTCCATTTGTGCAGCTCGTTTCTACTTGTGTAAGTCCAATGCGGTTTTTTTTTTTTTTTTTTTTTACCTGCGCTTTTTACCTGCCGAGCTTTCGCAGGCCATTGTGACGAATGAAGGAACAGCAGCATTTTGAATGGCCGTAGGACATCCTATATACGCAATTACGACAAGAGGCCTCCCGTGGCTTAGGGCCAGTCTACGCCGTCATTCTTGTCCCAAAGTTGTATCTGTCTTGGATTTTTTGCGTGTCACGCGCAAAAAAAGAACGCCACCATGTCGGTTACGGGCCGATGGATGCTAAGATATAGCTACCTTCTGTAAACATATTCATCTTATGCCATCAAGCTGCGACCAGCCATATCTATTTACGTTGCTTAGTCTAAAATAGGGGTCCTTTTGAAGGAATAATCGTCGCCTCAATTAAATAGCTGAATGTTAAGCTAAAGCTGAGGTCAGACACGCCTATCACCACCTCGAGGTCGTTTCTCTTTCGGAATAACAGACTATAATCCTAGAAGCATACAAACTATGCAAGGGAAGACTGGAAAACAATGCATAGGCATAGCTTTACGGGGCCCCGGAAGGCTATCCTATCCAACCACAATATACGATTCTCGGCTTTTGTAGTCAGATATGTACCTACCTCTACCAGCAATGAACGGCTGCTCCAATCGGTGTTTGCTTGCATTAATTACATTTTATAGCATGTACTGCCGTAATTCAGGGAGAGGGAAGATCGTAGAAGTTCTGCGCCTTCTATCCTACGTCCGATAGCCGGTATGTATGTAGGCTCTGCTTCCAACAAGGCCGCGACAATCAGTGTCACACTTGGACTGCAAGACAGCGGGCGGTCCAATCGCTGGTTGGATAATTGGCTGCGAATCCACCCGCATGCTTTCATGTAGTTTATTTCGCAAGTAAATATGGAGCAGCTAAAGTCCCTATCTAGACTTCTTATTGCTTTTGATGCAGTAGCGGCTGCTAACCGTGGGTATATGTATGCAGGATTGTACGGGGGCATGAAGGACCCTGATGAAGCCAGGGTCAACGAGGTACTAGAGACGAAAAGCAAGAGATTCAAATGCGGGGAAGATCATGTATACAAGTTGCTCTAGGAGAAAGAGAAAGGGAGGGAATACGGGCATCAGAAGTCTTGGGTCAGCTATATAATACCTAGGTTAGGTAGATATTAGATACTTGGAGTTGACATTGTTAAAGCGCCTATCATTCTTTCTCAATCCTCGTACAAAGATGTGCGTGACTATATTGTTAGCACTTTTGCTTCAGAGCTTTTTAGTAGGATAGGGCGCTTCGTTGTGTGATAATAACAACCAATGGTAATTCAGTCTTGTCGTGTATAGTGAATTTCTACCTATCACGATGCGAAGGGTGGGGGGTAAAGGAAGCTTGCATCTGCAGCTATCCAATATCTCCGAATAGACAATGTAACAGAATACTCAAGTTAGTTAAGTTGATACATATATAAATGCAGTAGACGAATAACAGAGATGACATCCCCTGAGCCCCTGCTTCTTGGTTAGCGGGGTCTTTGCCAATGCGAGTGACCGGACTCAGCCAAGAGCTCTGAATGGCTCGCGAAAAGATGCATTTGTAAATACTAGCGAAGATGGATGGGGACAAGGCCTGCCTAATCTACCTATTACAATGTACAATGCTATTATATGTAGAGGAGACGGTATGAAGGAACGAGCAAGTAGGAAGCACTGCATACCCAAAAAGATTGGGGAGCTATGTAGAATCCAGAAGTAGCTTCACCTACTAGCAATATATATTAGGTATCCTTCACCGACCGGAAGTGATAGCTATCATGCATCGTGTTGCAGGATGAGCGGGAAATCGACAGGCACACCTCCCGAAGAGCTGGTCTCACACTAACTAACATACCCGCCTATTTCTTGTCACGTTGAAAGATCGTCCAGGGTCATCCATACATACAGTTAAGCGGGCGGTGCCGTAGATGACGACGACAGGCTTGCTCATCAGGGGGGTTTCTTGAAGCTTCATTAGCTCCCAATAAGCTCCCAAAGCTTCGGGGGCGATCTCGTGCTAGTTATCGGTCATCCCCCTCTTGAAGCAACAAGAAAGACAAGCTTAACTATCGCTCATTCGTGCATATGGTTTGACGATCTGACGATGAACTCATCATCGACCCCGCCCCCGCCTCATACGTAGGTAGCGAGAAGGACGATCGTGGAGACAAGCAAGGATAATCACGCACATCATCCCGACATGAAACAGATCGGAAAGATTTACTAGTAGCAGGACGATAGCTCATGTATAAGCAAACCTTTAAAGCAATCAGATAGAGAATTATCTATTCCATCGAGTCCTGAGAGTTATCTTGGTTAAAAGGGAGGCGACCCATAAGACCCGAGACAGGTCCTTAGTTTAGTAGACGAGCAACTCGATTCGCTACTCGAGTCGCTAGAAGCTGCATCATCGGTCATCCCTGAGCTCTCACACGTTGACCGCCGAGACTGGCTCAACGTGCTTTGTAGTGGAGTTCTTAGACGAACCAGTCGAGCAGAGCCCGGTAGAAAAGCTAGCCAAATTCGTCTCCCCTGAAAACTGAGGAAAGCCACGAGACTGTACTGTATTTATTTATGTAGGACGATATAAGGCCGTTATAGACCGTCTATCGATAGCTTGATGTAGTTACGCTCTCCGTTAGGTTTTTACCTTGGTCCACATCGTCCATTGAACTGAGCCAGTCCAGAGGCGTGGGCTTGTTCCATGGCATCGATTCGTATCCACCAAGTGACGGATCATTGGTCTAGAGTGAGGTCCCAGTTCAGATCCCTTATTAGCTACTTCACCCTCCCTTCTCTCAGCCAATCCTTCCCGTCTGACCTTCAGACTACCTCATCTTCCTCATCCTACCACACCATCCCTGATAATTCGTGGCCAGATGCTGAAGCCTCGTGCAACCTACTTCCATGCAGGCTCGTGAAATGGGAGCGCTGCGAGCCGTAAGCTGCTTATAGATCGTGATCACGCTTCCTCACCATAGCAGCCGCACACCACCTTCTTTACCATTGCTCTCTACCATACTAACCCATGCCTATGCGGCACTCCAAACGTACCTGCTTTTATGTTAAGCGTCGATTGGTTCCCGATTCCGTAGAGGGACCACATAAGCAGCCAACCTATTCTCTTTAGATGCGAGTGTGACAGCAACTTTGCAGCTGGTCCTTGATAGTTGATGCAACCTTTTCGGAAAAGCATGGCATGGTACTGTGGACTAAATTAACTGGTCGACGGCCGTGGGACCCATCGAGTCTCCTGCGCCTATCACCAGTTTAAACTTGGAGCACATAGGCTGGATTAATCCAATAGGCGCGAATTGCTACGAATTACCAATAAGGACTTCCAAGTTTGGGAATCTATAGAGGACATATGTACCTGTCTAGGTATCACCTGGCTGCAGGATGAGGACTAAAGGGGAAAGGTATCGTATCCGTCACGACCATACGATAGCGGCCAAGTTGCTATTGCCCTCATGCCTTAACTGCTCTGGGATCTTTGAGAATGCCACGGATCGGTCGGTTTGGATGATGAAGAGATAAGCCTAGTTGCATTGTAGGTAAAGGTCATATGAGAGGGCGTTACCATCGTGGCCCAATTCGCAATGAGCGCGAACCTGTAAGAATAGACATCGTTCGGATGAACCCAGGGATAGATGATCATATCACGACTGCCAATATAACTGGTCAAACTTCCCGACTAATAATCCGTCCTGCTACTGGACTCGAGGTTCTGAATTAGTCTAACTATTCCCTAACCTATTTCCTACTTGAACCAAGACAGGTAGAGTTACTACTATGAAGAATATATAAATCTGGAAATGCTATACGGCAAGTCAATGCGATAAGCGTGATATTATTCAGTGCTCTGGCATCCGTCTTAAACTGTCGCGACAACGACATGTACTGTTAGTCAATAAATCATAACGGATCTCTTGCGAATACATAGTATAGAACATAGAACAAGTCATTGACGCGGCTGTGCTTTTACTATTCGATACTCACCACTAAACTTAAGCTCTCGCTGTCTATCACAGCCTGTTTCCTCGCAATGGCGTCTAGTGTAGTCTTATTTCTATTTCATTATTTTGAGAACATCATTTTGAGAACATCACTTTTTGATATACTAGCAGCTGGAGCTTCGTCCAGTCTTTTATTGATCGGTCACCTTCTAATATTATTTTCTGCATTGCTACTGTAAATTCGACCACCAATAGGTATACACATACAATAACACAATAAGCTAGAGGAAAAGAGCGGCTGCAGGAGACGGGTATTTCAACCTTCACCGCTGGTTTCGAAACCGGGTGATACCAAGACTCTCCGTACAGAGTCTTGCATACATACTTTACGTACATAACTGCATAGGCTTTGATAGAGGTATTGCACAATGCTAAGATTCGTCTACGGCCGCTTAGCATCCTGAATGTATCCTCTCTGACCGAAGTTCGGTATCCCGCCCATGTCTATGTCAGCAAATATATCATTCCATATTCTAGAAAGAAAGAAAAATTAAGATCGTATTTGAAAATACGCATCGGTTCTCTGATCCGCTTCTGCTGAAATTTGCCCATCGCCGTGTTTATTGCCACCTCTCCGAGTAACCCAACATCTCGACTTACACGGAGGTAGGGGGAGGTCTAGCCTAGAGCCATTGGTTCACGAGGAGCCAAGAGGTAGCGATCGCAAACGCAACTCCCTAGCTACGAACCAGCAAGACCAGCAAGACCAGCAGGATAGCATCGCATCTACCACACACTCGACCGTCTTGAACAAATTAGCAAACAGGCCACTTCAGCTTCAGCTTCAATATCCGGACCTGTGTTACCTTTACCCAGTTACGAATTGTCCAACATATTTTGATTTATGAGTTCCATTGTCGTCACCCTCGGGAGCGCGATTTTTTTCTAACAAGTCACATCTCAACTTTATACCTTATTTTATATCTTTTGCTGCGATCATTCGTCATCCTTCACCGCATTGGCCTGTTTATACCTAGTTGCATCGAACAATTCTTTTTAAACTGCCCAAGGTTACCTACTTTACCTACTTACATATCTCTCATCCGTCATTGTCATCATTATTCAGGTTCTTTCTTTTCCATTACCCTATTATCCGGCTTCTTTTTATTTATTAATACATATCGACTCATACGCTGGCCCTTCGCGA